TGTATTAGTGTGTAAACATAACAACATAACATAATTCTTTTAAGTTGAGCACATTTTTACTCAAGTTCAGGAAGACATTTGAGTTCTTCTTGATAGTTAGCCCTGAAAAGATTCAGATCTATGTAGATTAAAACTTATTTTCATTTTCCCAGTTTCTTTCTCATAGAAGATTAAGGAGAGTTCTCTCAAGAGAGAGACGTATAGAGAGTAGACCTATACCAATTTCAACTGTGGATGGGAAAATCTTGGTTTGAATTACAGAAATGAAACCCTTCCTGTAACTACTGAATAGTTTTTGAAGGTTTCAAAGGGTGTTTCTGTGTTTTTTTGTATTTTTTTATGGTGATAAGTCTTAGGGGTTGGAAGGCCTCCTTAAAATAACTTTAATATTTAGATCTCTCCAACTTCTCCAATGAGGTTCAAGTCATGCCTCTGACAGGATTCCCCTAAAATATTAACTTCAAATAATCACATCTTTGTAAGATTAAAATATAAAAAAAAAAATACATAGAACTTTAAGGATATGAATAATTTAAGGCATTAAACAAACAGTAGATAGAAACGTTTATCTGGCATTTTTTGTTTGTTTTTCTTAATGTCATAACCTTCTGAACCAAAACTATCAGTGATACAAATTGAAATTTCTCAGGGAAAATTGGGAGTTCTTGCTAAATAGCCCTGTGTTGCACAGTTTTAGTGAAGTTGTTTTTGCCAAGTTAGAGACAAGCCCTTGCATTCCTGTGGTTGTCGGGGACTGATGAAGCAAACAGAGTTGTACACAAAATAAGAAAAAAAGACATCTTTAAATGATTATTCAGTGCTTCCAGTCAATCCCCCAATGGTTGGGATGAAAATTTGGGAGCTGGTGCAGATATCTGTGCAAGGAGGATCACCCTACCTCCCTTGAATATGCTGGGTGTGTCAGTCCAGCCTTTATTTGTGTCAAGCTTGAATGAATGAGGAAGATTTAATGGATGGAAGAAACAGACTCCCTAAGCAACAAGGCTAATTTAAAATACATGAATGGAAAACATAGACAGTTTTTATTAGCGTAAATCTGCCAATTTTTTCCTTGTGTTGGGAAGAGAGACTATCCTTTAATGAGGCCTGATTGTTCTTTCAAGTTTTTTCTACCCCACAGGCTTTAAAACTAAATTAAATTTCAGTGCAGTTTTTATGGTTACTTGAAAGAGTATTCACCTTTTGTCAAGTATAATGCAAAACAAACAGCAGCAAAGATATTTTTCATATGGAGTAACGCTGTATAGAGCATAATTGTGAAACCAGGTGAAACAGTTTCTGACATTTTTTACAACCAAAATACTGAAAAGTGTTATATACATTTATCTTTGGCCCCTTAATGCAGTTTGTAGAACCACTTTTCACCTAAATTGCAGCTCCAAGAGTATCTTCAGACTGCAGTTTTGAACAGACTGAATTAGATTTAGCACTAAAGGTTGGTTGAAACATTTTAACACAGTAATATAAATTCATCTAAACCATTCTGTTGCAGTTGTATACAATCTGGTTTGCTGTCGTGCTCAAAGACAAGTCTCGGTCTTAAGTGTACTAGAACAGGTCACTATGCTTGTGTTAAATGTAACCTATTTGCCTGTTGGTAAAAAAAAATATTTTTGATCTCACCTGATCATAGCATCTCTCCCACATCTTTTCTGTGTCCTCTACACGACTTTTGGTATTGCTTTGTTTCAGTTCTGCTTAGGTGTCAATCTTCCATTAAGTTCAGGGATGTTGGGTGCCTTCATTGTCCTGTGAACAGATTCTCCCACTTGAGGTGTGGATTTTTGCAGCTCTGCCAGAGTTACCAGGGGCCTCTTGGCTGCTCCTCCAAACAATGATCCCTTTAGTGGATGGCACTGTCTCAGTAAATTTATAGTGATGCTTGCTTTTCCATTTCCAAATAAAGTCTTAAAGATTTAGATGTTTAACACTTGGGACCTTGTTTTATAACTTCACCTGCTTTGAAATCCCCTACCGGTCTGCTGTGCTCTTTGGCCTTTATGATACTGAAAATTGATTTTATCTTACAAGGTTTTTTTTATTTAAAAAATACAACTCATGAGTAGAGTCTGGGTGTACTTAATGGCAAATTGCTTTTAAATTAATGTACATTTACTTGCCTTACTTACTATACTTTTTCCTTTATTTTACCCGCAAAACAAAATGTATCTTTCTTTTTGCATTGTCCCCCTCAGTCAGATTTCTCATAGCTATTATTTTCACCTTATTGCTATACCAGTGACACAAACCTTTACTGCTCAAACCCGATTCCACACTCCCACTATGATCCCTCACCGACTGCTTAAATAAAACCCTGGTTTGGTACAAACGTCTTTCAACTGAATACCAATTTTTAAAAAACTTATTTTATTAGGCACAAAATTAAACTTTCACAAACTCTTTAACTTCTTATCGATAACGCCTCCATATGCACTTTAATCAATCACCTCAAACCTATTACATATAGTACTGTAATTATTAGTATATCCCTTAACTGTATAGTGTTTCTTGGTCTATCACATTAAAAAAAAAACATTAAAGACTATGGTTGTGGTGGCTAAATGTTGAGAAGTTTAAAAGGAATTATTATTAGTATTATAGATATTTGAGAAGGACAAGCTGCTACAGCAGCTGATGATCATCTTCTAAACTACCAAGTATTAATTTTGCCCTGAGCACATCAATCACTGCACAGGAACAAGGCCAGAATACGACAAACAATCAGGTCTGTAGCGCTGATCATTAAGGCAGACCTCTCCACCATCCAGAACTAGTTCAAGTGTAGAACCAGGTAATAAGGAAAGAAAATCTCTGAAGATCCTGGACACAAATCGTTTAGATTTCTGACTTCACATCAGCACTGATTTCTCTGGGAAACTCTGTGGTTGTTAAAGAATAGATGAGGGGGCACTGGAACTTAGAAAGAGAGAGGAAAATTGGCAATAGTCATCTCTAGTATTGTGAAAATATCCACTGGGAGATTTCACCGCTGAGGTTACTTGCACAAAGGTTTGACTGTCTGGGGCTGAAATTTCCTGTTTAAGACATTCAGTTATTATGGTTTTTGTTTATATGTCAACAAATAGAAATGTGAGGGGGATTTTGAAAATGGTGTTTTTACGTTAAAACTATCAGAATGTTTATATTTATTAGTATTACTTGAAATTATTTGAAAATGACCCATAAAGTGCATCTTTGTTAAGTTATTTAATGTTTCTAGTGTTTTTTGGAAAACATGTTAGTGTACAGACTGGGCTGAACTAATTAATCAAATTAATTGTGATTAATTGATTATTGAAATAATCGCAGATTTATTTAGTAATCGATTAATCGTTAATTGGAGCAAAGAGACTGTAAAACATGCCTTTAGCTGACATTTAGAGCAGTAATTATATCAACATTTAAATATATATATATATACATTTTGCATTTAAGATTAAAAAAAAAATGTCTGCCAACATGCTGTATCCAAGACTCCTGAGGTGGAAACATTTTAGTTTTACCTTTTTATTTTAATAAAAAATCTTCTTTAAGGAACCTTTAATTATCCGATTATTACGCGAGTATTCGGATTAATTGATTTGCAAAATAATCGTTAGTTGCAGCCCTAGTATAGATTTCGGTTGCAAATAAATCCTTAACAGGTCCCTGCCACATCATATTTGGACTAATTCAATTCAGTAAAATTCAATAATATTTTATTACTCCCAAAGGGAAATTAAATGATGCAGTAACTCATGTTTTTCTCCAGCCACTGCCTGTCCTCCATTACGGTGGCAGACTGCCTCATCCTCAGTTTAATTAATCATCTGCTGGGAATCTTGCACTGGTTTTCTGTTATTCATTATTGAGCTCCAGGATGCCAACTCACCTTACCCAAAACTATCCCGCTTTGTGGACTGATCACCTTACCTTGTCCGTGTGGTCCATCCTAAAAGACCAATAGTTTTGGGTCCCAGAGAGAAGCTCGATAGAGAGCACCCATGATCCAGCTGTATCTTCTTGACTCCCTGAACTGGGAGTCTCTCTGGAGGACTTGGTTGACCCAAGAGTGGCTTTATTCAGCTTTCCAAAATAAATTAGGCACCGTAACTCACTGCTTAAAATCCACATCCGCCATTTTGAGGTGAAACTCAACTCAATTCGATGATGTAGTGGGGCCTATCTCCACTGTATGCGAATTCCAGTCGCTCACCAGGTGAATTTCTTGTGAAATGTCAGGTGAGCAAATGCACATAATAGTGGCAATTTTTTTCATTGACTTCATATGATAACTCATGATAACATATGATAAAAGTTTATTTTTAATGAATATGTTTTTTTGCATCATATACATAGATATCTTATGTTTTGTTCTGACCCGTTTCTTCTATTAACTCTTAGTCTTCACCTTTGAAATTGGGCTCAAGCCGCTCCTTTCTAGCCTGATAAGTTGTGTATATTGCATCAACTGGCCAGGCTAGATAAGTGTAGTTTCGTGTGAATAACATGGTAAAAGGATTATAGAGTAAAGGCATATACTAATTGTATGCAGCTTGTTAGCAATATAAATTATTTCATCTTGACAGGTTTTTCTTAACGGATTGGCGACGGTCATGAAAAGTTGTAGAAAATTGGACTTGGTTATTTGGAAATATTTTAATTGCAATAGCTAAAATTTTGAGCAGCAACATTTGCGTCTTGATGGTCACTACTGAGGTCTTTCTGTTTGGGCATTTGTAACTACAAGCCAACAGTTTATGCTCCTGTTCAGAAAGAGGGGGGCACCTTTACTGATAATGAATCTGTATAGTCTTGGGATCCTGAGGCTTGCCCACCTGAGGGTGCCGAAGATCCTCTTCTGTTTTTATGTTTTCTGTTAAGGACTGGGATTACTGTTGGGATCTGGAGAGTTACCATCTGTCTCCAGCAGAGAGCGCTGTGGGTCTCCTGGGCTGGAGCTTCCAGCACACCTGAAGCTCATCAGCCCATCAGGAGACCTTCCTACATAAGCAGCAGTCAGACCTTCCTTCGATGTCGGAGTGTTGACCAAGTTTGGTTAGCAAACCTAAGCCTCTGCACATCTAGTGAATCACAGTAGACTGTAGAGAGGAACTGGATTCTAACCTGTCTCTATCTTCTCTACTCACAGAAAGCCTGACTGAAGTCAGAAGCTCTGGAGGAGCTTTACCTGGAAACCTGCCTGCCTGCCCAAGGAAGCCAAACCTGAAGGTCTTAGCCTGGATTCCTCCTTCAGCTCTCAGGGGAGAGCTAGGAAGTTGAACCTGAAGATCTCAGTCTGGATTCCTCCCTCAGCTCTCAGGGAAGAGCTAGGAACCAAACCCACGTCTGAGGCTGACTAGCCAGAAGCTAGACGCTGCTGCTGCTGACCTCTCTGTTACTTCCTCAATCTCTGGACCCACTCGGTTCCCCATCTCAAGGATCTGTCAGAACCTCTTCAAGGTACATTCGAAAATTACCCACTCATCAATCTATCTAACTACCTGGCTAATCAACTTCCCATCTCTCCAGATATCAGTGATCCCAGACCCGGACCTGTAACAGAACCAGTCCATGTTTCTCTGTGCATCTACCTTTAATAAACATTGTTAACTTTTCCTCTGTCTCCAGTCTGGTGTTCTGCATATGGGTTTAGCTCATTAAACCGATCATGACATATAGTGCATTTGATTAGCAGCACCAAAGCAAAGCTCTTTAATCCCTTTAGAAGCAATAATTGTATACTTTATTTTTCAAGTGCAAGTTAAAAAGTTTGGTATTTAACAGCTATTAGCAAAGGGATTTTTTTGTGTGTTTTCTATACCTGAGATTTAATTGAAAGAGCTTTAGAGGCTGAACACTAAAACTCGATTTTCAGCATTTACTTTTATAGATTTCTAAACCTTTGAAAGAAGAAGAGGCTGGTCAGTTAAAACAATATCAATTTAAATGTAAATTCCTTTATTGTCCCACAATGGGGAAATTCACTCTCTGCATTTTGACCCATCCTCTTGGGGAGTAGTAGGCTGCCATTGTGTGGAGACCGGGGAGCAGTGTGGGGTTAAGGGTCTTGCTCAGGAACCCAGAGTGAAGGCTGTGGGGACTGAACCAGATACTTACAACCTTTTTCAGAACACAAGCACGTTGCTCTAACCCACTATGCCAACACTCACCTTTGGGAGGTTAGAGAAGCCATACTGGCTTTTTCTTTTCTCTCTTGGAATTAACCAAAGGGTTCATGTTTTTGAGAAATAAACAGCCAGTGCCAGATACAGTGATGAACACAGAGAACTCAGACTATTTCTAAAATTCCAAACTAGAAGAGTTGCCAGCAGTGTGTCAATCCTGGTTCAGTTAGAATAAGAAACGTTTTACCAAAGTGGTTTTGTGCATGACCCGACAGCTGCTCTGCATACCTTCCAGCGCTGTCATCCTTCATGTTTAAATGCTCTGCAACCACAAGCACACTTTAGAGAGTGAAGAAAGACATCAGCGTCCTCCGTCAGGGAACAAACAAAAGTCATTTTTTAGGAGAGGAATTCCTTGTCTGCCATCCGTAAGAGGAAATTACATCCCTTTGCCAAGAGGCATGAAATCCCTGTTAGCCCTGGGATGATAGAGTGTTACTAAAAAGATTAGTGCTGGGTTTTTTTCTTTGCGATGTTGACCTTGTTGTTTTACTAAACATAAGCGTAATACCACCATACGTAAAGAGCCATGAGCTAAATTTTCCCCTCTGGGAACACCTGAACTTTGTATTACGGTAATATTTTCCAGTTTTGAACTTCCAGAGTAGTGGAAAAAGGGGCGTGTCACTTAAAGGTAGAGGAGCTGTTTTAAAGAGTTTCTTTCCTCAAACAGCTTCACAATCAAAGCTGTGATGCTGACTGTGCTGTAGTTTTAGTTGGCTGATTTTTGCAGAGTTATGCGAGTTTTATGCAGAGCTTTGACACGGATAAAAACTGAAACCAGTCATTTATTTGGTGCAGATTTTATCCCAGCTTTGCTTAGACTTGATCTCTGCAAATTATCCTCAATTGTATGCTATAAAGTTAGTAAATAACGCAATAAAAATATAAGAAGAGATATATCTTCTAGGACTACCTTATGATTTTAGGGTATTTCTCTTCAGACAGCAGGGACCAGAAAGCCTCCATTGGCTCTGCAGATGCCCTGTCCTTCATCTGAACATCATTTTGTACAGTCAGAGTTACATTCTCCAGTGCAGGAGAAAAGATGGCACAATTTTTTATGCAATATCAACCTCATCAAAATCTGGGCCAAATGGAAAACTTGTGTCACAAGCAGCATAGTGACGCAAAAAGTCTTCAGGGACTTGTTTCCAAAAAAATTGCATTGCTTAAAATAAATGGGAGTTAGTATCTTGTAAGCTCTGGCCTTTAACCTGATATTATCCATTTCTTCCCATGTTGTTATTCTTTTTTGGCATTATATATAACAGTTTTTTTATAAGCAATTTCTTTGTAAATAGTTAAAACTGGTCAATTTTTAATTAAGTTTGTAGCTGTTTTTAATCTTGTGTTTCTCCTCTTGTTGCTCCACTCTGCTAAAAAAAAAAAAAAAAAAAATGTTCGGGCTTTGTTTTCCATGAAGTCACTCCTTTACATTTCAATCTACATGCCATAGTGTTGCATTTGTGTAAATCTTTTAAAGTGTTGATTTATAAGTTTAAATTGATTTGGAGTCTTTTGGTTCCTGTGGCGGACCACTAGGGGACTCCACTCTCACTCATGGAGAAGATGTTCTTTTGAAATATGTTTTGTCCTGTGGTGCATGTATATGTTTGCTCTACAGTTTCCCGAAAGTTAGAGCGGAGTAACGGTGTTCGAACCTGTCTCCTTTGTGTAGTCCTTTCAACTCCTCCACAATGCAAAATATACAGTATTCAAGCAAAAGTGAATAACTTTACGTTTATGTCCAATTATCGCCTATTTTTAGTCATCAATGGCGTACAAAATATTCATTCTTTGTTTACCTTTATAATTATTTTATATATATATTGCATGAATAAATAAGTAGTAGTTTTTATTCATAAATTATTTACATTTTGGCTCAAAGGTCTTTGCTGACTATGTTACAAGTAGAGGTTGGCCGATATTAAGTCCAATTTTTATCAGACGTTTCTTTAACCGCTTTTAACATAACATGTTTCATTCATTCTCTTTGTGTCAACATATCAGAGTGAAGTTAACTTAATCATACCCCTCCATGACATCAATTTGAATAAAGCATTAGATGAATTACCTTTTAGCTAGTTAGCGTTGGACATGCAAAGCAGACATTTGGGAAAATGGAAGGTAAAAGGTGCTCCACAGGAGAGAGGTTCTACCTAATCTGGGAAAAGTGCTAGATTATTGCACAAATGGCAACTGTGATAGCCTGCTTCTCTTCTTAATAAACCGAAACAAACAGAATCCACATTTTCCATCCAGTTACACTTAGAAATTGGTTATTCCGTCAGGTAAGACTTAATAAAATTCCTTTAAAGAGGCCGTTCTAAAGGGAAAATCAGCGCAACGTGCTTCTTCATCCTCAGCAGGTAAGGTAACATTCGAGATAACTGCTGAACATAATTTATGTTCAGATTTTTTTTACCTAAAAAAGCTTCTCAAGATCAGATATCACCCTATAAACAACAAAAGTAGGCAAAACTCAAAAGTTTGAGGCAATAGACTGCTGCAAAATCTTGAGTTAAGGTCCTGGTGAAGCTCTAAATGCTTTGGTGACTTAGAAAATATAATAAATAAACTACACATCTCAAACATCTTAGTTAAGAATCATATTTTTTTCTTTTATTTAAAGCTTATCGTTCCTTCAGGAAATTTGTCATCTGCACTTAAGTCCAGAAATGTGTGTTTCATGGCCAGTAACAGTTTGTGTTTTAAACCTTTGAAGTTGTTCCATGAAGCTAATGCTCTGCTCTTTGATCTGAAGGCCACAGTGATAATTCCTGACTACTGATACTGTTGTGGTGATTTTATGCCTCATTCATCATTAAATAAGGGGTTGCAGTAGCCTAGAAAAGATAAAATCATGAATATCCCTTTTAAATATATCATCAGCAAGAAAAGTGTTCATTTTCCAAATGAACTAGAGTAGATCTTTCAAGATCTGTCAGATGTACCTTTATTTTCAAGAAAAAAATACATTTTCTAATTAATACCATTCTAATGAGCCCAAAGGACCAACAGTGCAGATGCATCCAGTCAATGGGTCAACCTTTCCCAAAACAATCAGTGACATTAGTTTTATTGTCTTAGTTCTGATTCATTCCTGTCAGCACTTTTCAAAGATTTGCCACACACTGGGTTACATGTAAAATTTGATGGCAAATTGATGCAGATGTTACCTGCATAGCAATAGAAAAAAATATATACTGTATATTTTTCTAAAGGACTTTAATGGAAGCAAAAAGAGATACAAATAAAATGGGGCCTTGAGGTGCTCTATATTTAACTGTGACTTTTATGCAATCTGATGAGTTTCAGTAAAAAACTTTTTAAACAAGCTACCATTGCTTTATGCAAGAATAAATGAATAAGAAAATTGAAGTGGCTAACTGAACCTCTAAATATACGCTGACACAGGCAGTTATCTAAACAATGACAGTTTTATTTACTGTTTGAAAAAAAAAAATACCTGCATGGATTCACATTCTGTGATATTTACTCCTGACTAATTCACCACAGGAACATGATCTGATGGAAATGAGTAGAACACAACCAAAACCGCCCGCAAATGTTTGCAAACAGAATCCTGGGAGATTTTACATTAAACAGTGAACCACATGCACACATTGCATGGATCAAGATAAATGTACCACAAAGCATTTTATTCTGTAGGTTCTCTCCAAGACAACATTGTTTAATCACACAAAACCCTCTGATCTAAATAAATATAACCTTCATTACATTATGAAAATTCAGGCTCTATATGTACATTAGACTCTTCTCAACTGGAGTTCTGCTGGACAAATGCAAACCTAAACCAACACATATTTTATATTTTCTCCAAAAAAGTAAAATATCTTAAATAGTCAACATAGCTGTAATTACCTAATCCTGTAAAAGGTTGTACACAACCATGTTGCTATATACTATATAGAAAATATTTTATTTTTTTTATGCCACCAGCTATTATCCATAGTTTTGGTTATTATAACCTACAAATATTATGTGAAAATATCAAGTGTTTACCTCCAAATACCATAAAAGCCAGTAAAATCTGCTCTTAATTACTACAAAAATATCACACTTTACTGTAAAGTTGTCGGTTGGGGTTATTTTTTTCCTTCAACTATTAATATAACATCTGAAAGCTTTGTTATTCTGATCACAGTCTTTTACTTGTTTCTTTGTCACCATGATGCTGTTTCTTACCTGCTGTTCTCATATGAGTAAATGCAGACGGGTGAGAGGTAGCTCTGGAAATATAAAATATTTGTGTCATTGCTGTATTGTTTTAAGGCAGTAAAATCATGTTTTGTTGTTTTTTTTTTGATGAATTTCCTTTACTTTCCATTATTTCTTTATTTTTCCTTTACATTTTTCAATTTCCTTTGATTTCCATC